GGGGATGATGGGTGCTCTGGGTGTCCCCAGGGGGGCTCAGGGGGCTGGGGGGGACTATGGGTGCTCTGGGATGACTCAGGGGACTGGGGGGCACTGAGGGACCCCAAGGCGCTCTAGGGGTCCCCAGGGAGCTGAGGGTGACTGGGGGGATGATGGGTGCTCTGGGGGTCCCCAGGTGGCTCAGAGGGCTGGGGGGCACTGGGGGGCACTGGGCGGACTCAGGGGGCACTGGGGGTCCCCAAGGAACTCTGGGGGTCCCCAGGGGACTCAGGGGGCTGGGGGAACTCAGGGGGACCCCAAGGTGCTCTAGAGGTCCCCAGGGAGCTGAGGGTGCTTGGGGGGACTATGGGTGCTCTGGGGGTCCCCAGGGGGCTCAGGGTGCTTGGGGGCTGAGGGAGCTCAGGGGGACCTCAAGATGCTATGAGGGTCCCCAAGGAGCTGAGGGTGCCTGGGGGCACTATGGGTGCTCTGGGGGTCCCCAAGCACTGGAGGGCTTGAGGTGTCTTGGGATGCTTAGGGAGGGGGCTGGGGGAGCTCAGGGGGTCCCCAGGGGACCCATAGATGCCCAGCAGGTCCCAGGAGGTCTGAAGAGGTCCCATGGGTCCTAGGGGTCCCATGAGAACCCATGGGTGTTTGGGGGTCCCAGGAGATCCCATGTTTCCCCAAGGTTCCCAGGAGATCCCATGGGTGTTTGGGGGCCCCTGGAGGTCCCATGGGTGCCTGGGGTCCCAGGAGATCCCATGGGTGTTTAGGGGTACCAGGAATTCCCAAAGAGGTCCCATGTTTCTCCAAGGATCCCAGGAGATCCCATGGGTGTTTGGAGGCCCTTGGAGGTCCCATGGGTGTCTGGGGTCCCAGGAGATCCCATGGATTTTTGGGGGCCCCAGTAAGTCCCAAGGAGGTTCCATGGGTGTCTGAGGGACCCCGAGGTCCCATGTTTCCCCAAGGTTCCCAGGAGATCCCATGGGTGTTTGGAGGACCCAGGAGATCCCATGGATGTTTGGGAGCCCCAGGAGGTCCCATGGTTCCCCAGGAGGTCCCATGGTTCCCTAGAGGCCCCAAGAAGTCCCCTGGGTGTTTGGTGGCCCCAGGAGGTCCCTCGGGATGCCGGGGCGGGGGGAGGGGGGTGCTCACCAGCAGCGAGGAGGCGGTGGACCCGCAGGTAGCTGATGGTGAGGCGCATGATGGAGGCCTTGTCCAGGTGGGCGCTGACGCCGCGGGCGAAGGGCAGGGTGTGCGCCAGCTGGTAGAAGACCTCGGTCTCCCTGCTGCGCCGGCACCGCGCCGCGTCCCGCGAGCGCTCCTTCCGCAGCTCCGGCGTCGACCTGCCAGCACCCGCACTGCACCCACTGCACCCCAGGAACCCACACTGCACCCCCACTGCACCCTTATTGCACCCCCACTGCACCCTAGGCATCCACACCGAACCCACACTGCGCCCACTGCATCTCCACTGCACCCCGGGCACCCACACTGAGCCCATACTGCACCCCCATGCACCCCCACTGCACCCCGGGCACCCACACTGCACCCCAGGCACCCACAGTGAACCCCTACTGCACCCACGGCACCACGGGCACCTCTACTGCACCCTGGGCACCCACACTGAACTCCCACTGCACTCACTGCACCTCCACTGCACCTCGGGCACCCACACTGAACCCCCACTGAACCCCCACTGCACCCCATGCACCCCCACTGCACCCACACTGCACTCGCTGCACCCCCACTGCACCCTGGGCATCCCCACTGAACCCGCACTGCACCCCATGCACCCCCACTGCAC